CAGAACAACGTCGGTACACAGTACTAATCAGCTATCATGGCAGTAGGAATGGCAGACACACCAAATAACTCACACGGTGGAGACGTCTTGCCTACCATCGTACATTCTTATGACAACGCCAAAGGGCGCCTAGCTCAAACGGTTAGGTGACTCAGCGGCACTCCTCAGGTACTGGGTTCGACTTCCCGTGGGGAGCGAATTTCAGGCCGAGGTTAAAAAAATCCCCTCGCCTGTCCCCATAACCAAAGCACTGGGGGGCACCGGCCCAATTCTCACTTGGGCGACAGAAACCCACCGTGTAAGGATAGAGGCGGGGTTCCAGGGTTTTCTCGATCAGGTGAGAATGTCCTTCTTCTTATCTGAAATGCTGCGGGGCAGTCTTAGCCCCCGGTCGAGTTTTTTTTTCTTACGACAGCCTCCATGTGCACCATTACTACTTCTTGTCCTTCCACTGCCCTCTGCGGTTACTGCTGTGTTCTCTGTCTGCATCTACTCCATGTACCTAGCAAAGAGACAGACGCGCGTTGACAAGCAGGGAGCATGATCCGGCCTGTCCTTTTTATTGTTCCATTAATTAATCTCGTCTAAACAACTGTTACGTTACGTTGTTGATCTGATGATGACCTTATATATATGCTACCACCATGTACCACTTTACATACCCTGCATACAACATGCACGATGGAGAGCTTGAACCTAAAATAATAGCTTATTAGTATATAAATAATATCTTCTACTCCCTCTGTCGTGATCTTAAGACGTGCATGTGTATTTCAAAATACAAAATTTGTTATTGATGCCCAACAATTATTGTAATCATATATGAACTTTATTATACTACAATAGTGGTAACATTGGCTTTGTATATATGTAGATTTTTTTTTTTGTAAAGTCGTATACATGGGCCGGTTGAAACGCAATCAACACATAGATCATGCACAATTAAAACCGATCTGGACTTTTCCATGGTTAGGTTGGTTTGGCCCGCCCGAGCCGTCACCGAGCAAAATTAGGCTGGTCACAAGCAGCAACTCGTAGGGACGCACGCGCATAAGATTTTCCTGTTAGATCTTGGGACAATGTTTAGTTGTGTTTTTTCTTCGGACCAACAATGCCTCTAGGCCTCTGCTGGGCTTTCCTTAGGGCCCAATCGCACGATCGAGAAGAATACTGAGGCAAATGTTAAAGAGAAGATAGATGGAGGATGCCTAGATGCAGAGTCCATCCTGCTAGTTACCACTTACTAGCATGTTGCAACGCTACGGAACTCCACGATGTGCTGCCTACTGCAGCTCCTGCGTATATAAGCCAGAGATGCTCGTGTTACTTCTGCCAGCAATTTTTTTTTGGTATTTATATATAGCATTAACGGGAAAAGAGCCTAGAGTCATGCACCTTTCTGATCTTAGCCTTTCAGTATCTGAAATTAGCTGGACCGTTGCTCAAGCTAACCGAGGCGTCAAAACAGTTTTCTCGCTAGAAACAGGTGAAACTGAATCGAATTATTCTGTGACGTATGGATCGTATATACATAGGTGGCAGATTATAGGAAACGATGGTGTGTATGGATCGAATGTAAGATGTAAGTAACCACTTCAAGATATAAGGAGAAGAGAAAGACAGAAACAGGCTACACAGAAACAGAGTTCACCTAGAATAATAGATCAAGCTAGAGACACCACGCAACAACAGCCCATGTGCCCCAGTCACAGTGTGCTTGGTTCGATGATTAACTTCATCGGGTATGGAGTCGCTCAGCTTGCATGCAGCATCGGTCGCCCTTACTATTCTGAGGGATGAGTCGATCCCGGAAATTGGCTTGGAGGAGTCATGAAACAGATCGACTTGGTGACGGACGGACGGACGGACGGCGCTGGCTTATGATTTCAAACCAAACGCCATTCATGAGGTTCCATCTGAGCATCTGATGATTCCGGACCCATCCATCAAAACAAAAGCTCTACAATTAACCAATAACACCGTGCCATCCCGCCACCGACTGCAGTTACAGGGCCGAAGACGAGAAGAAAACGGAAACTCACCCCACCCCCGCGTTGCCTCCTCCGTGAGGCGACTCGGGGCGACCGAAACCATACCCCACCGCTGGCTACTCCCTGGCCGCCACCGCTGCTCCCCGGCCAGCGCTTGCAGCCTCAGCGGAGGCCAGTCCGGGGCGGCGGCCGGCTCGCGCGCTTGGCTGTGGCAGGTTAGGTGGTGGTGGCAGCCAGCTCATCTCCCGCGGCCCCGGTGGCTGGCTGGGCCGGGTGTTCGACCGCCTTACGCGCGCACCTAGCGTCCGTGTGGCCAGAGCCTGTGCCTGCTCGGCTGGCTGCGGCCTAAGGGTGGTTCTCTTGTGGCCCCAGTGCCTGTCTAGGCCATGTTTGGCCGGGCCTTGCGCACGCAGTCGGTGTCCGTGCAGCCGGGTGCCCGAAGCCTGCGCCTGCTCGGCTGGCTGCGGCCTAGCGGTCGCTATCTGCCTGCCGCAACGGTTGTGGCTGACCGGGAGCGGTACCTGTGGGCCAGGGTGGCCTGGTGCTGTGCAGCTGCGGGGCTGGCAAGCTGTGCGCACCCATTGTTGCCTGCTATCCTCTGCTTCGTCCGGCGGCAGCGCTGGCATCCGCCGGTTCTAGGTTGCGTGAACCCTGGGCGCTTGCTCGTTGCTTGCTTCAACGTAGTAGGTGCTAAGCGAAAGCCTTGCTATCTAGCCGACGATGATGATGTCCTTTGGGCGTTGTTTCCATCTTTGGAGGCATCTGTTGTTGCACCTTCCTTTCTTCCTAGCGCAGATCTTTGGGGTGAAAATCTGGTCCCTGCTACAGGCAGCGGAGGCGCTGCCTGCGTCGCAACCATCCTTGGAGGCGTCCCCTCTCAAGATCCTTGGAGGCGTTGCCTCCTCAAGTGCTGCGTGTGGATGTCGTTGCTGTGTCATCTAGTTGGCGGTGGAATTTCTTGGGTTGAGCCTGAACGCGCTTCATATCCTTCAATGCTTGTGTTTGCCTTATAGTGTGGTCGCTTCTCTGGTTGATGTTTTGTCACTTCCTTGTCGCTTCTCCAACGGTACTTTTGCCGCCGTTGTTGCTGGCTATCACTATGTGGAACTTTGCCGCTACCATTGCGCATCCTTTTTCCGGTGGATACTTGGCCGCCGTTTTTCTTCTCTAGCGGATGCTTCGCCGCTACAATTGTGTCTCTTTTCCGGCAGATACTTGGCCACCGTTGTTGCTCTCTAGGGTATGCTTTGCCGCTACAATCGCGCGTCTCTTTTCAGGCGAATACTTGGCCACCGTGGTTCCTCTCTATCGGATGCTTTGCCATCTGTTGTCATATCGGCTTCCTTGGCGGATGCTTGGCTGCCGAGCCGCTTGCATACTTTCCTGGTGGATACTTTGCCATTGTTGTTGGAAGCTCACCTCGTTGCCATCACGGTTTCACCGCACTGTAGGCTACCATTGTGTTGTTGTGATTCTGTCATAGGCTTAGTCTATTATGGTCTCGAGGCTAAGGGTCCTCCTCCCATTTTCTCTTGCTTCTTGTGTGTACCTTTTCAGACTGCACTGGTAATCATTTGATTACTTGAGGCGTGTGTGACTTGTAACACTCTACTTTTGCTTAATGAAAAACGTGCTAGCACATCAGCTTGTTATCCTCGGGGTTTTTTAATTTACAACGCAGGCGATCACCAGATATATTTACACCGTCGGTTCACTTAACCTACCGCCAGTGTTAATCTGATTTGTACTAGTGTCATCCTTAAGAGAACCAACAGTGTAAATACATGACTTATACTAGTGCTTGACTTAAGAAAACCGCCAGTAAAGATGCATTTACACCGGTAGTTTTCTTAACCTAGCGAGACTACAAATAATTTTTTAAATTAATTTTTAAATTTTTATAAATAATCTCGGATGGAAAAATGCTTTGTATGAAAGTTTTAGTACCTGCAAATATCTACAACTTTGTAGCTGACTACTTTTTCATTTGAAATCACTTGGGTTTAGAGATTGTGTTTTAAGATTAATGATTTTAAAATTCATATTTTATTAATTTTTAGAGAAAAAAGTTCAAATTACATCCTCCAAGTTTGGTCTATGTCCTTAATGACCAGCTAAACTAACATACGGTTCAGTTTATGCCCTCCAACTATTTCAGTTGGTGCAATTTATTCCTTAAAAGAATTTTTCTTTTTTGTTTCTTAGTATACATATTGTGTTTTAGTTTTAAATTTTGTGAGGTGACGAGGACATCATAGTTTGTGTTAGAAAAATATATCATGAATTTTCCATCATTGTATATTGTATCTCTAATGTTGTTTATTTTAAGATTTCCTAAGCTATCAAAACAGTCGCACGACCAATACTCCGTCTCAAAGCTGTGGCCTTGGTGCCTTGACACGGGAGCCGTGACAACGTTCATCACCACAATTTACAATAAATCAATAATACAGTAACCAAGATCATAGCAACGAAGTGAATGAAAGAGCTAGCTTCACCACTTGTAGAAATTCCACAATGCAAACTGGACCCCGATGGAGCTCTTGAAGATGGGTAGGCACTCATGCATGCGGAGGCATACGAAAACAAAATTTAAGCCTCATTTAACATAACACACATACCATTTATGTTCCTAACATACTTGCAGGTACAAGTGCTAGAGTGAAAGGAAATATGCTGAACAACAGGCATGATCGTCGAGCAACATTATTAGAGGTTTAAAGCATGCAAAAGTCTATCAAGAGCACATAGATATTGTTGGAAGAAGATGACCGTGTAGTAGACTGACACCAGCTCCACGCATGCGGCATATATATGGGGCAGCAGACAGGACTACCCAAAATGATCCCAACATCATGAGATCTACCAACTTAATTCGCAAACTCCTCGGTAGACTGACACCAGCTCCACGCATAAGGCATATATATTGGGCAGCAGACAGGACTACCCAAAATGCTCCCAACGTCATGAGATCCACCAACTTAATCAGCAAACTCCTCCCACCGAGGATCAAGAGGCAAAAGGCTGAATCGCCGAAGACTGCAATAAAAATCATCAAAGAAAAATAATTTTGATTAGCATAATTAGTCTAGCATTGATGATTGATGAAGGTCAATGGCAATCATGTGGAACTCAGCTAAAACAATTAACAACAGACAACCGTACGGTACTCGGAAGTGTCTGTGTACCATTGATCTAAATGTAAATTATTACATATTACCTCTTCTTAATTAGAAGAGGTAATAGAAGAAACACAGAATAAATAGAGAAAACCTCTTCTTATTAGTTAATCTAATATACATGCATGCATGATCTTACTTTGGTATTTGATGCAATAATGTGACATGTGGATGAGATATAAATTATCTTGTTTTACTAACATGTTCTTTTCTTGTAAGTTGACAAATAAAGATCATGTGTGATATATATACCTGTAAAAATAATTTTTTAATGCTGAAAGACTAACATTATCTGTAATGATCGTTTCAACATGACTAGATCCATTTTGAACAGCAACATCATGTTGATCGTGTACGTGATTGATTTGTCACTAGCCATAGCAGATCACTTTTAACACCAGCATCATGTTAAAAATTAATGTTCTTGCGTACTCAAACATAGTCCGTACGTGAGAATAGTAACAAGTATATACTTAACTGTATCTATTTTCCTTAGAAAAGTGATAATTACTTCATATGTACAAGTAGCCCAGGCAGACGAAGATTTCAGGGATTTATTTTTTTCTTCTTTTTCTCTGATTATTGAATTTATTTAATGGTCCTACTAATTCTAAAAATCACGGGCTATGATTTCTTTGGGATCTTGATTCGTCTTGGGAGGTTTTTGGTGCACCGCAGCCCTTGATTTTCTACACCTATTGTTACTATATATAATAATAATATAGTAATGGAGAAGTACGTGTTAGTGGAATTGGGAATGGAATGTGGTTTTTAAAACAAGTTGGGCAGCTGGTACGTACCTCTTCATCATCGCTCTGTATTGGTCGTGCCATCCTACGTTGATTAATTTTACCCATGTGGAATCTGAGTGCGGAACTATTGGCATGGAGTTGTGCTAGGCGCCTGAGCTCAGCCTCTGCCTTGTTCACGTCATCAGGGAAGGCATCCTTACAGTCGAGATGTGCCACGACAGATTGTAGCAAAGGGAGGCACTCCAAGTCCAAGCCGAGATTATTGTCACAGGTAGCGTGTCCATCCTCGTAGAAAGCCCTGACTGGGACAGTGAACACAAGATCATGGAGGTTTGGCATCACAGCAACAGGGACCGGTGCTACTCTGCTGCTGCAGCCCCTGTCCTCTGCTTTGGAATTGGAATCAAATACCATAGCAGCATCCTGTCCTCCCGTCCAGATTCTCAACGAAGCACTAGTCGAGTCACCGTTGGTCGCCAACTGGACCATCCATCCAAACAACATGAGGCTTCTCAACTTGTGGAAGAAGACATCATGGGAAGCAATATTAATTACCATAGACTGCTCATTAGAAGCCGTCTCATAAGGCGGGAAAATGGAGAGGTAACGGAGATCTGGCAGCCCACCCAAGGTTCTCAGACCTGCCTCGTCCATATGATCCAAACGCAACTCCAAGTAGCAAAGGTTGGGGAGAAGCGTGGGATCTATGAATGATGGCAGACAAGGGAACCAGATGCCTGGTATACGGAGACGCCTGAGATGTTCCGGAAGCACGGCTTTGTCCCACTCCACTGAGGCACGTCTAGTTTTACAAATTAGATTATAATACAGATCCAGATGCTGGAGCTCCTGCAGATTGCCTAGTGACTTCAAAAGTTCTACCTGCATGCTCTCATCCAGCCTCCCCATACCAAGCACACGGAGCACCCTCAGTTGGCTCTGGCTGCGCAGTTCCTTCAAAAATTGCCTCTGGGACTCAAAAGACAGCTTGCAAACACTTATCTGTAGCTCCTCCAGTGACGTAACCTTCTGGAGGAACCCATCGGGCACCTTCGTGAATTCATCACATCTTATGCAGACCAACCGTGTTAGCAGGCAAACGCTCGATGGCAGTTGGACTTGCATATCATATCCTCCGATATCTTCCAAGTCCAATGTCTGTAGAAGCTTTAGAGCCCCTATCGCCTCTGGGAGCTCTCGGACCTTTGTACCTCGTAGCCCTAGGTACCTCAAATGAACTAGGTTTCCAAGATGCTCAAGCCCATGCCTGTCATACTCAAAATTATCAGATGATGTGCACCTCTCTAAAGCTAGCACGCATAAGAGTTTAAGACTCGGATGCAAGACCCAACCACGGATATCACACCGATGGGCAACCAATGACCTCAGTTGTGTCGTGTCCCTATGACTGTTAGGACGAGATTGACCCAACAGTAGTATCCTATTATGGTGAGCTAACCGGCACACCTTATGTCGCGATGATGTTCCTCCATCCTCATTTGAGATAGTCATGAAGTTTTCTTCGCCTGCCAGACCACGAATAAGATCAAGGACCATGTCATGAACACGACAGCGATGTATGGTGCCATCCACTTGTGACTCCACCCCTTGGATCATGCTCCTATTTATGAGCTGATGGAAGTATTCCTCTCCCCGCTGAAACAAGCTTGTTCCTGTTTTCTTCTCTATAAAACCTTCTGCCACCCACTTCCATATCAAAGATTTTTTCTCAATCACACAGTCTTCAGGATACACACTTAGGTACAATAAGCAGGTCTTCAGATGAGAAGGCAGATCATAGTAGCTAAGGGACAATATCCACTCAAGATCATCTACCCGCCTGTTGTCTCTCGCCACCATAGAAACCAGGAGAGTTGCACACCTCAAACCAATCGTTTCTTGATTTGCCCACCAACAAGCTAGCCATTGTGATGATAGCTAATGGCACACCACCACATTTGTGTAGAATCTTTTCAGATGCCTCTTCAGGATGATGAGCAAGACAGTTGTCTTCACCACCAAATAGCCTCATATAAAATAGCTTCTTTGAGTTACCACGTGAAAGAGGACCAAGCTGGTAAACTTCATCGCCATAGGCTACTTCTAGATTTCGAGTAGTTTTGACAACTCTACTTCCGTTATTGTTCTGATGCAAAGCTGATCCTAATGCTTGCCAAGAATTTATGTCCCATACGTCGTCAGTAACGATGAAGAACCTACCAGTGCAACAAGATAGTACAAATTAATAGCCAGAGTTAGTAAGTAAACCTTCGAGCATCTATCGTCTATAAAGGAGAAGAAGAGCGGCACTACATCTGTACTGTACTAGTATTGAAAATGGGTGATGTCTAATTTTAGTTTAGTCTTTGAAAATTACATACTAGTGGTACTTTATAGATTTTTAGATAAAGGATGAAAATCCGGATTCATCTACTCAAGGTAGAATCTGACAGTGGTACTTTATAACTCTGTACTTTCAAGATTTACAATGTCCCCGTTGAAACTTCTTCAAATTTGTATTATCAAATATAAATTCCCTAGCAAGAAAAGGAGTATTGTGCCACAACTGCAGCTTTGATTCATCATAATGAAAAAAACAAACATCTTAGATTTGTTTATCAAATATAAATCCCCTAGCAAGAAGAAGTATTGTACCACAACTGCATCTTCGATACATAATGAGAAAGAAACATCTTCAAATTAAATGGTAAACGTATGTATCCTCCCAAATAGTATGCACACAGCACAAGCAGTGTAGCATATATATATATATAACCATAAATTGAAACAGAGAAACAATAGGTAATCAGGTGACTACTGATTAATGCGCGCATGCATACCTCTTGTTTACAAGGAATTTTCGGAGTTCGCCAATGAGCAGTTGTAGGTCCTTTACATCACGAATGGCCTTGTACTTTTTTTCATCGAGAAGGAGGAAGATGCTGGTGAAGACTTGCACCAGGTCAGGATTGCGGCCAACCGAAACAAAGGCTCGACAATCATATCCCGTACTCAGCTCGTCGTAAACCGCCTTGGCAAGAGTGGTCTTGCCGAGACCACCAGCTCCGACCACAGAAACTATCTTGGTCCGGTTGCTGCTGCTGGAGGCGCCAGCATCTCCGTGGCCGTGGGTCGATGACTGAAGCATGTCTATGAGCTCCGCCCTCGTCCTCTCGATGCCGATAATCTGTGCTGCCTCTTTGTGCATGTCCACAAGGCGAGGATCCAGTTTGGTGGCCGGCGCAGGCACTGCAACGGGTATGGAGTACCTCTCGCGGCGGTCCCACACCTCCTGGAGTCGTTTCTTCATGTCCTCGATCGCGCCGGCGATGTCGTGGCGTGCCTTGCTCTTCTTCAACATCTTGGCCATCTTCTTGAGACGTTTAAGCAAGCCTTTCTTGCTTTTAGTCTCAGCAGGGCCGGCCCCCTCCACGACATCGAGGAGGAAGGTGTCGAGGATGTCCTCCATGTCGTAGGACGCCTCTCTGACATCGCCAGCCCACAGCCGGACCTGTCGATCCAGATGCTCAGGCGGCGTCTCGCCCACCTTGCAGAGAGCCGTGTGCGCACTCTCGAGCTCATTTTTCAGATACTCGATTTGCTCCGGCAGGCCCTTCTGCAGCTTGTACTCCCCGTGCAGGAGCTCGCCGAGCTTGGTGAGGATGCTGCCCACAGCCCCGGCCACAAGATCCATGCCGACGCCAGGATGGAAGACTGGTGAGGTTGGAGATTCCGCACTTGCTGAAGCTATGGGATGAAGAGTAGAGAGACGTGAGTAATTATTGGTGCAGTGCAGTGGAGACGGTGGCGATGTGTCACCTTGCTTGCTAGGAGAGGAGGAAAGCAGAGCTAGGCGAGCAAGCCTGTCTTTAAAGTGTCCAATAGCAAACGCTTGTTTGATAGATCAATACTTTTGCCGGACTCGGCAAGATACATTGCATATGCTCTTATCTTTCCTCTCCCTCCCACGTCTCTCTCGAGGCTTCTCGACATAGCGGACCTGCGGCTGGCCCGCACGCCCACTTTTGCATGAGGGCGGTGACGCAGAACCACACTCACCCTTCAGTTGCCCGCTCGTGCGTTACACGGCGACGGCACGGTGACGCCATCCCGGCATAACACCTCAGCTGCGGCGCGCTCCCGCCCGGATCTAGACGGCGGCCCGGATGTCAGTGATGGGAAGAAGAGGAAAGGGGAGATTGAGATTAACCGGTGGTTTGCTCCCCTATAATTGAGGGATTGAGGCAAGATTTTGAGGGATTGAAAAGAAATTTAGAGAAACCGTATTGAAAAGGGGATCTGCTGGAGTATGTTTACTTTTGCTTCAATCCCCTATATTACTGGTTTTAGGAAAAGGGGTAATCAATCTTGTGGATACGCTCTAAGCACATACCATCTGTGACAACCCGTAAAGAGTGACCTTCTGGCTTTTATCAAAAATCAAAATATCTTATTTATGACACCATGTGGTTTCGCTGGAGAACGGCGGGCCGAAAAGGATGCAAATAATAACGTAAAAATATGTAGTAGAGAGTAGAAACCACTGACCAAATGGACACATGACAACTTTGAAAGGCATGTTTATTAGATTTTCTTAAAAAAAATCCTGCAAAACTCTAGACTATACAACAAAGGAAATGACCAAAGTGCCGAAGAGCCAAAGAGCCAAATAACCAGTTGTTGGGTACGGCAGCTGAAGGAGCGACATTGAGGCCCCCAAGGCCCCAACAAAGGAAATGACCAAAGTGCCGAAGAGCCAAATAACCGGTCACTGGATACGGCAGCTGAAGCAGCGACATTGAGGCCATCCTGACTATGCCAATATCCCATTGAACAGCTCGTTCAAGGCCTGTTGTTCTGCCGGGGAAAGAGGTTCCCTGAAGGTTTGCCGAAACTCTTCAGAGGACGCTATGTCGGTAGAAGCTACGTCTTGCTCCAGCCCCAGCTTCTTAAGCAGCACGATCCTTGCTTGCATGTAACTCCGGTTTCGGTGCTCTCATTCGGCTTTTAGCAATGTTAACTCATGATGATTAACACTTGACTTATGCTAGAGGTTACAGTAATTATTTTGATATATAATTTCTATGTAGAACAGGTACGACATCGATCCGTACTATAATCTTACTAGTGTGGGATCTTATTTCCAGGTTTTTTTTTTGGGGAACTATCTTATTTACTGTTGTGGAGCAACTGTGCGCATGATATTGTTAGCTGGTTTATGCTTTTTTTGGTAAACAAAAGGACTCAGTAGTGGCCTGCTTACCTGTCGGGTTCAGGAAGAAGATGCACAAGGTGGGGTAATTGTTAGCCTATTGTAATTATAGTATGCAACCCTTGATTTGTGGCATGTATCACGCCTGCGTGGTTGGCTCATAAGCCACGCCGGCCCCTATATGTACTGACACATATTAATTAAATTCTAATCACGTTTACATGGTATCAATTGCGATTACGATCCGCTACTCTTCCGCAACCCTCGACAGCCGCCGATCCGATCGCTGCCCCCGCCGCTGACACTGTCGCTGGGCGCATCGTCGGTCCCATTGCCTGCGCCTCCACCTGCAACGCCGATCCGATCGCCGGCCCCCGTCATTGACCTCGTCACCGGGTACCGCCGCTGGTCCGCTTTCGCTTTGCCCCGCTGGTTTCCGATGGCGGATAATGACGACGCTATTGCGCGGCCGCCGCCAAGGAAGCCGAAGATCGCTGCCGTCGCGCGCGTGCCGCCAAGAACGCCACCTCGCGATTAAGGACGAAGCTCAGCGCTGAAGAAGCACGCCGCGCCGAGGAGGCCCATCTCCGCGCCACCACCGCTGGACGCTGCGACTAGAGCGCCCACGAGGCCCTTTGGGCACAGGCCACTGCCGTCGTCAACGTCAAGGCCCCCATCCCCGTCGTCCTTGATCATGCCACGAACACCTACAGCAAGTGGCGCGACATGTTCCTCACCGTCCTTGGCAAATATGCCCTGACTTGCCACGTTCTCGATGACGTGGCCTTCCCCTCGCGCCCGGCATGGGTGCGGGAAGATTGCGTCATCTTGACGTGGATCTATGACACTGTCTCCAACGATCTGTAGCAGACCCTGATGATGCGGCAGCGACCCACTCGCGGGGCCTGGTGCTACCTCAAGGATGAGTTCCTCGGCCAGCGGGAGTCCCGCGCGCTCCTCCTCGAAACGCAGTTCCGCAACTTCCGCCAAGACGCCCTGAGCATCACCGACTACTATCGCCGTCTCGAGTCGATGGCCACCTCTCTTGCCGAGTTCGGCGACCCCATCGGCGACCGGCAGCTGGTGCTCACGCTCCTCCGTGGCTTGAGTGGCAAGTTCCACCATATGGTGTCCATCCTCAAGATGCATCGCCCATTCCCAACATTTGCAGAGGCCTAGACACACCTCTTGCTGGAGGAGATGGAGATCGACGCCCGGCCACCATCACCGCCATCCGCTCTCGTTGCTGCCACTCCGCGCCCGAAGGTGCCCGGGGCACCAGCGCCTCCACACCCAGGGACGTTCCCCCCTGCGCGCCCTCCTGGTGCACCCACTAGTGGCCAGCGCAATGGCCGCCGTCGCGGACACGGTGGACGCGGCGGCCCATCGGCGCCCCCTGGTGGTGCGCCCCCAGGCGTGCACGGTGGCATGCACCCATCCTTCACGCACCCATGGGCTGGCACCGTGCAGATGTGGCCCTACGACCGGTCTGGCGCGCCCACCGGTGCCTCCAGCGTTTACCGCCATTCCTCAAGATGGCGGTTTTGGTGGCGCATGTGGTGGTACCTCACGGCCCTCCTCCTCCTCAAGACTGGCCCGGTCCCTTGGGAGCCTTGGGCTCATACTATGGGGGAGCCATGCCTCCACCACCAGCTTGCACTGCTGGCCTTCCAGGCACCCTCACCGGCCCACTAGGTCACTCCAGTGGTGCCCTGGAATCCTACCCACAGGGCTCATGGCATCAGGACTCCCTGGCGCACTCCTTCAACACCGTGACGCTCCACCCGCCAGCTCCATCACCCGAGTGGTACGCCGATTCAGGGGCTGGTTCCCACATGACCGTGGACGCTGGTAAACTCTCTACCATTTCCCCACCTTTTTCATCTACTCCTGCATCTATCGTTGTGGGAAATGGTGCACTACTTCCTGTCACTACCACTGGATCACACACTTTTTCTTTCTCGGGTCGCAATCTTGTTCTTAACGATGTTTTGGTGTCTCCCAACATTATTAAGAATCTGATTTCTATTCGTCGTTTTACCACCGATAATAACTGTTCCATTGAATTTGATCCATTTGGCCTTTCTGTGAAGGATTTGCACACCAGGAACGTGATGGCTAGGTGCAATAGCTCTGGCGACCTCTATCCATTCCGTCCACCCTCCACCAGTGCCTCTGCGTGCATCGCTGCACCCACCACACTTTGGCATCGTTGTCTCGGGCATCTTAGGCGTGAAGCTTTGTCCAAACTCATTAGTTCCAGTGTCATTTCTTGTAATAAAGATGATATAGATCATATATGCCATGCGTGCCAACTTGGTCGCCATGCACGTTTGCCTTTTGGATCATCTAGCTCTAGACCTCTTCATAATTTTGATTTAATACATGCGATCTTTGGACATCTCCTATTGTTAGTGTGTGGGGATACAAATATTACCTTGTCATTTTGGATGATTGTTCACACTACATTTGGACTTTTCCGCTCCGCTTTTAAATCGAGACATTTTCCACTCTTGCCAAATTTTTCACTTACATTCGCAGACGCAATTTGGCGCCACCATCAAAGCGCGCCCATGCGACAACGGCCGTGAATTTGATAATTCTCCAGCCCGCACATTCTTTTCTCTCCACGGTGTTGCACTCGCATGTCGTGTGGTCCATACTTCTCAAAAAATGGAAAAGGTAACGCCCTTCGCACTATTAATAACATTCTCGCTCCCTTTTGTTTCAAAGTAGTCTTCCTCCGGTTTCATTGGGTTGAGGCCCTTCACATCATGCGACATATCTTGTGAACCACCTCCCCGACTAAAACCCTCACCTTCTCGACACCATATACCTCCTCTATTCCACCCAGCCCTCCTATGACCACCTCAAAGTTTTTGGGTGCGCCATATCCCAACTTGTCCCCCATAGTGCCCCACAAACTCGCGCCCGCATTCATCCCTATGCGTTTTCCTTGGCTACTCCTCGAAACACAAAGGCTATCGGGTGTCTCGAGCTCCAATGAATCGCCTTATCATCTCCCGACATGTCGTTTTTGATGAATCTTTCTTTCCCTTCTCCGATATGTCCACCACACCCATGGCATCCTCAATTTTGGATTTTTTACTTGACGAGAATGATTTTACTGCTCCAATTTCCGGAGCCCGTACGATGTCTGCAGGTACTCCGACGCCCACTGCAGCCCCGCCACCTAAGCCCCTACGTGCCGTGCATGGCATTGTGCACATGCATGGGGATGGGGATGCCGCGCCTGGGCCATCGTCGTCACCTGGGCCGCTATCACCAAGGTCGCCCCTAGCTGGGCCCTTCGTGCCACCCCCGATGCTCGGTGTTGTTGCCCGTGCATCCCGCACGACGGTTGCCGCCAGCCAGCCGCCACCGTCTCTCCTCAAAGACCACCCCATGTCGCCGGTTCGCGCTTCGAGCCTCGCGCTTTCAGGTTTTGTCTGTTAACACCCGCACCGGCCGCACTGTTGCTA